TTTTTAATTTTTTTTTTCTTCGAAATTGAATTTTTCCTGTACAATTAGGTACGGGCCAACCGATGGTGAAAGAATTTTTGCGCTATCTTCAATAGTTCGCCAGATATGTTCTCCTAAACATTCATTGGAAAAATTGTTTCACAGACGGATTCCGCGGCTTATGTTTTTTCCGCGACGAAGCGGGTGATCCATTGGTGCATGAATTTTTGTGATAGTTTGCTGGATATGTTCTCCTGAACGTTTAGTTTCGTTAAGTTACTGTCCGAGGACTTAATATTCTTCATTTATAAAAAGCGCTTGTATCTAATTTTGCTTATCAAATGGAGACTATCGGATGATAACGACATCTTACATGTGCCCACTTTATGATTTGATTACTGTAGAAATTTGTAGCAGAAGAAAAGGTAATCAAGAAATTTACTTCAAAATTAAACAACAACAAGAGTGTACAATAAATAATGGTGCAATATTATTAGCGGTTCGGGCCTCTTACACAAGAGCGTTCAGCGGATTGTAAGATGTTCAATGTATATCTGTAAAGTGCCTTTCATAAACAACTCCAGTTTATTCATTAATTATGAAATGAAGTTTCTGGTGAATACCACGATATTTACTGCTTGCTTTTACATCATAGAGAAACTTGTGCAATTATTATAATGAAATATATAGTCCCCAGAGCTGAGTTAAAACTTTCTTAATTATGTACAGGCGGTCTTTATCATTCTGATAAAATAAATTCGCTTTGTCGACACAAGCTTTAATATATCAAGCAAACAGAATGGAGAAACGAATATTGTGGGCTACCAACTTTGCATTTCTAACCAATGTATTCCTCTCCACAATAAGGCGTTTATTTATCGAGGAAGTAATTTCGTAATTGCTTTAGACAAAAACATTTCACCAATAGACTTCCTTCTGTTTTAGTCTAATTTTAATTATCTCTTAATTTCTGTGGAATCATAAAGCATATCCTCTGGTGGCTATGGGAGTTTTGGTATTTAAACTCCGTATCATGTAAAGTGGCGGCTCAAGTAATAAAACTTTCAAATAATTTAAAAGCTTGCTTTGTCGAATAACCAACATTTGCGCCAAACAAGAGGACGGCCGGAACTTTATTTAGTACACTTTTAAGAGGTAATAGTCCTTACTGAGTCTGTCTGTGCAGCTAATATCCGAAATTTGTTATAGAACCTTCTGTTTAGGTTTCGATTTAAAAAAACGTTCTTATTCCAATATACGGAAACACTCTTATAAAAGTTCCCAAGTTATTTTGATCTTGTTTCGTTTGTAATTCAAGGTACTTTCCGTGATACGGGGTATATTTACTGTTATATGGTCGGATTACATTCTTTTGTAAATATTCAGTAATATAACACAGTTTAAAATGAGACCTAAACTGTCGGTGTTTATCAATACATATATTTAAGGATCCCCCTACTTCTGTTCAGCTGATCCATCTCAAGATGAAGCACTTGAGACAAGAAGCATGACAAGTGGAAGACAGTCTTATAGGGAGTGTTATCATGAAGTCGTAGAATTGTAAAAGTGTATTCTGTATTTTGCTGTATAAAGCTATTGAACGATCTTTGTATAAATCAGTTCAACGCACATAAGCAAGTTGCTTTATGACCGACTGCAAAAAGCGCCGAAATTTCAGTTCGGATCAAAGGAGTGACCCTGCTATACAAAATATTTTTATACTGTATCGGTATTATTTGTTTTGAAGGCAAATTGGTCGAACTTCCTCCACACGTAAAAGCAGTTAAAGTTATACGACCGGTAAATTTGATTGCCCATCAAACAGATACTGACCCATTTGATCGAGACAATAAATTTTTAAGTCTTTCACGAATAATGCACGTATTTAAATTCAGTCTTCATAATTATTACCATGATAAAACCATTCAGTATGTACGCACGACTGAATCGAGATCGAAGACAAAAGGAAGTCGGGCTTCTTTTGGAATTTAAAGTAGTTAGATTTGGATTGTGCAATCGATTTGTCGCCAAATTTTAATTAGTCGTTAAAGTTATGTTGTTGTCTTTAAAAGGTGTGCAATTACCTGTCAGAATTGTAGAGGAAATTTCGGTATGAAAAAACGACTCTCCATAAAGTATAAGAAGATATTGTGACATAATTGTGGTCTGTACCTCCACATCCGGTTTCTATTACTTGAGTTTAAAATTCGTTTATGCACAATAATAACCCATTTTCAATTCTTATGAAATTTAATACCGATATTCCATTACATTTGATATTATCTTCGCATTTAATACGAGGTGAAATATTGTTGAATGTTAATGGAGATAATCTGTCAATTATTTCAAAAAACAGAGGCAGTGGATTCGTAAAATGATGATGAATAGTCATTTCATTGAAGTCGACGAAACAAATATAAAAGAAATTCGCTCTCCTTAATGATCACGCCGAAATCAGATATGCACCCTAAGGTGACAACATAATAGGATTATATCGTAATTACGACAAACAGAAGGGAAGAATCTCGGATAAGAATTAATCTCGGGTTCGGACAAGCAATGCAGAGCGTTCCCATAGGAATATTAAATTTTCTAGAACAATCTGTTGCTATGCTACACAGCTTTTTCCGTATTATCACAAACAGTACAACGTAAACGTGATTCGACAAGTAAACCTTTTCGCTGAGTATAAATTATTACTTTTAAGCACACAGATTATGATTTAAACATTTAGCTAAACAGTTAAACCGAAAAATTTTCTTTATAATTTCCTAACAATCGAGTTATATGTGTAGGTACGTATGTAGATCCTTTTAATGGGAATTTTCGAAATACTTTGTATATTATATGTGTACTAACAGGGCAATTTAGGAAGGCGAAGTTAGAATGTGCCCATGGTCTATACCAATGAATAGTAAATGCTTTTATAACGTTTTTAACGCTTTTATTCCTCAAACGGTTAAAACTTGATCCCAATGAACAATCAGAACGCTTTGTTGGAGATTTTAAAAACATAAATCATTTCTCTTTGGCTTCGTTATTGTCGGGAAAAAGTATTAAAGGACTTCATTTAATTAAAAAAGGAAAAAGGAACTTTAGAGCTGAATGAATATTTAATTTCTTATTTTTATTAAGATTGTAAGTAGATATGTACAAGGTATATTCCTTTCTTCTTTCTTGAAAAATATTAAGGGGTAGGTAGTGTTATTGCCTTTTACTGTTCGCAAATAGTTATAGATGTGGGATGTTCTAGTTTTAGGGAAATGCGAAAATTAGCTCAGCATAAGGAGTCGGGGCGCGTATCCAACTAGTCTTATGACTAACGACATTACGCTGATGATGATGATGATAACTGTTATTGACGAACGACAATATTATCTTCACGTAATTTTTTTTTTTTTAGTTTTCAAAAACACTTTAACAAAATACAATTCAGTGACAACACGACTTGACCGCTTCTTTGTCGGACTCACAGTTGCTGTTTCATGATATCTCATTTTTTCCTTGTTAAATGCTGCAAGTTTTCCATCCTCTACTATTGCATCCAATGGCAGTTTATTCACTGTGGGTTTAATACTGCAGAATTTTATCCACCTCAAAACGCTTATGTTTCTGAGAATCATTGCCTACCATTTCAACTTTCTGGTATAGATTAAAAGTTATTAATTGCAAGATGAAGCTATAAAAAATGAATTATCGTCGTTCGGTTGCGGCTTGCGGCACAGTTGTAGCTGTAAATATTGTCGTTTTTTGATGTACGGAGGTGTATACAGTAAGTAAACACATCAAATCCTACGCTTTTATTTGAATTGACAGAAATTTCTTCTGCTGCATGCTTTGCTTGGGTAGTATTCCTTATGTCCGCTATTTCTTTTAGAAGATCAAGAGTTGTGTTCTTGTCGAAATTCGCAAAAACATTTTTCATCGAAACCAAGATGAATGAAGAAGTTTGTGGAAGGAAAGAAAAGACAGTAAATAGATATTAAATTTATAACGTACCTACATTGTGCATTTAAATAGTAATGATATATAAGATGATGAAAACTCCATTTGGTCATCCCATTTCTGGGATTCCAGAGAGAGATCTATCTTTTTTCGATTAGAAAAATTTGAATTATTTCAACTAAAATACAACTGTGAAGCAAACCAACTGTTTCCTTTTCTTACTCATATTTATTGCAGTTTTTCTTTACTCCTTCTCACAGTGTATATATATATATATTCACAATATCCTTCTTTTTTCTGCTACTCCACTACCTAACGAAATTTATTTTTATGTCGCAAACAATAGAAAACTTTTGTTATTTGCTTTAAAAGTTCAGGCACGTGCATGAATCCAATTTACTTCATTGTTCATGGAAAAGCTTCGCTTATTCATAAACGTCATTACTTGCTACATTTTTGAAAATTAAATAATTGGGAACGACTAAAGGAAAGTCAAAGCCTGCCATACAAACTCGTTTATTGATCCTTTCAAATAGAATAACAAACAGTCAGGCCATACAAGAGTTAATTTTAATAAAATCACTATTATTATCACTTCTATTTAACGGTAAGCCTAGAAGCAAGAATTGCAACTCATCGAAAGGGTGTCATTATTATTTTTAAAAATTCTGAAATCCTCGGATTTAATTTTACGATTAGTAAAAATTGATTATTTCAACCCTACTCTAATGGTTTACAGATAGGTAACAAACAGTTTCTTAAAAATTATCTTCTTCTGTTATGTACTTATCTCCTTATTTATTTAGGTACAAAAGTAAAATTGATTGAAATAAATATTTAATGAACACTTTACAACCGTATATTTATACATATTTAAAAATTTATATATATAAACATTTATTGCAAGATAACAAAAGCAACAGTTCCCCTGAAAGCACACTTCTCTTGTAATATCGGATACGGTCTCCAACGTCGCATAAAGTATTTACACGTAAACAATTTACTTATTATTATAAGTAAGTACATAACGTTTTTGTTCTGAACCCTTAAAGAACGTCTCCATGAAGGAACTGTCCCCTTTTGTAAAGAAATACCTATCCAAAGATTTCCTGGTACAAAGCAAATGTAAAAAATTGTCGCTTTTATTTAGTTAGTCATTAACCCTAAATTGGATGCAGGATGTAAAATGACGTTTCATTATTATTTATAGTTACATTTTGTAATTATTTTGATTTGTAAAATTATTATTATTGTTATATATAAATATTGATATGCAGAAACTTATCTCATTCTAATTTCTATTTGGCTGCGAAAGGTGAACAGTCGATGCGGAGAAAAAGTAGACATTTTGGAATGAATGAGAGTAGTAGTAGTGGCATGGTATAAAGATATTCTATGCAGTTGGGTCACTTCTTCGATCTAACGTAAAAGACCGACGGTTTTGCAGGCGGTCATAAATCAATTAAATGTATATGACAGTTATTCTCATTGATAAAGTATTGAAACATCAGCTGGAAAGGAATGTATGAGTGAAATTGAACAGTGAACAGAAGCAGATGATGAAAACACCGGTGATAGAAAAGTTTAGGAAAACAAAATAAAACAAAGGACTCTCTGCAAGTTAATAATAAAGAAAAAGTAAAGTGGGATAGTATGACTGACATCTGCTGGGGCAAGGAAGGTTTACTAAAGACATATCAGGACCAAGTAGGAAAGTAAAATAACATTAGATTGGTGGTCGCAAGTAGGTAGGAATTTGGGATAATCTAATTTTAGGGAAATGCGAATTTTCCTCAGGAGTGGAAGTGCGTGTACAGCTAATGATGACGATATTGTAGAAAATGCAACTGATTTTCTTTATTATTGTATTCTGAACTCATTAAAAAAATAGTATTTTGTTTCAGAGTGTACTGGGTTGTGTGTTCTTCCTACACCCAATCGGGGGTTAATTTGTAACACACCGTTAAGACAATGGCGAGTGAGAATTTATAATATGTATTAATTTTAAAAGAGTTTTAACTTTGGCACAAATCAGTCGCATAAATGGTAAATACCTAGGCGGAGCACTGTCTGATGTCAACAACATCAGTAGTACATACCCCTTTTATGCATCCACGTTAGAATTCGTAATGGTTTAATAACAGGAAATAACCATACTAAGTGTTTGTTTATTTTAATCTTTTCAGATTAATTACAAAGAATTGATTTAGATAAATATCGATTACTCTCACTATCTAAAAAAGCTACTATATATTATATTTTCCTAATTGCTTTTTATACGTAGCAACATTTTGAAGGCTCTCCTAAAGTCCAAATTAAATATTGTATAAATAACGGGATTTAACGCCGAATTAACATATCCTAGCCATGTTATGAAATTGATCAGTTTGTACGAAGGACAACAAGTAGGACAAAATGGAACGATCACATACATGAGAAAGAAAGGCAACCAACATATTACAAACACCCCCATTATAATGCCCAGCGTTCTGGCCGCCCGTCGTTCTTTCGACAGCGATATCCTTTGTTTTTCCTCGATAAATTGGGACACGGTGCCCTGTTTCTTTATCGTTACAAGAGCTTTTCCGGCCTTCTTGTTAGTCTTTTCTGGTGTTCCGGTACTAGTAGTGGATGCGGACATTGTGGCCGCATTCTCTTGAGGAGCCACCGCTCGAGGAAAATCCGACACCGGCTCTTGTTCGATCCGTTTTGGGTACAAATGCTCACTCTCCCCGTTCTGGTGGTTACTTCTGCTTTGTTTCTCGTGCATGTTCGACTCACTGCTGATAGATCCCCGTTCCCGCTGTTCCATTATGATCGATTCGTTGTGCGATTTCGACAGCACGTTTATTTTCGATGCCTGCGCCCGTTCTCGAAGGCGACGTCTGGTCGCTATAAATATTTCTACATACACGATCGTCATTATGAACAGCGGAATGAAGAAAGAACCGGAAGCAGAATAAATTACATAACCCCTCCGCCTGGTGAGTTGACAGGGAACGTCGACGAAATCGTCATCCTCGGGCCAATCGTTCCATCCTATCAGCGGTGGTGAACTGATTATCAATGACAATATCCATACGCCCGCGATCATTAACAGTACTCTCTTCAATGTTCTTTTCTGGGCGTAATTGATTGGGTCAGTGATGGCCCAAAACCGATCCAAGGCGATTGCGCACAAGTTCAGTATCGACGCCGTACAACAAAGCACGTCCGATGTCAGCCACATCTTGCACACGTGTATCCCGAAAATCCATCTGCCCAAAATGGAATATGTGACGTTGAACGGTAGCACAAGTATCGCGACCGTCTGATCCGCTACGGCTAACGACACGATAAAAAAGTTCTGAACTATTCTTAATGGTTTATATGCGAACACACTTAATATCACTAGAGTATTACCGACGACCGTTATCAGGATTATCAACGATAAAGTCACTATGGTCAAAATTGCCTCCCATTCCGGCACCGCCAGCTCAACGCCGAACGTTGAATTGTAAAGTCGCGTCTCGACGATACATGCGCTGTCTTCCGTCATTTTGCTTAGATCACAGATTCACCTGAAACAAGATAAACATTAATTAGAAAACGCTCTTCTGTATGTTAAAGTTTAGGTAAACATTGTAGCCCAATTTTTAGAAAGAGAAAAATCTATCTCTGGAAATACAGAAACCGATCTGCCATTCGTAAAGGCTTTCCAACATTAGCTGGTATAATATCTCACAGTAGTTTAAAGACTCTTGAATTATCAAATAGTTAAGCGGCCGAAACAGTAAGTTGTAGAGTAAATCCTACATTTAGCAAACATTAAAAGCAGTTTTCCTGTTTTATGTATCCAATTTAAATAATGTTTCGCAAAATACATATTTAGTAATAAAATACAGTTCAATTCAGCTATATTGCTTTTCAAAATTCTTGAATTGTCAAAGACACAAGAATATCCTTAAAATAGCATCACCCGTCACTAGTTCATATCCCACATTTCCGTTTAAATATCCTATAAGTAAAGGTAATTTCTTTTCCGTCCTTGAAATAAATTACATGGACAAACATAAAGAAGACTTAATCAACCGAAACTCAAAATTACGCATCAAAACATCGATTAAAATAATAATTAATTGGAATCGTGAACTAGTGAAAGCGCTCCTAGTTGATTAGACAAAATGTATCCATTCTTATTTTTGTATTTACTGAGTTCCGTGTGTTTTTTTTTTTGTTTCAAATAGGCACTTCATTTGTCCTTCCTTTTTATACGCTCATCAAGAAAGCAAATTATGTGCATAAAAGAGTATTGAATTTTCCGATTTCCTCAATTTCTTTGCTTAATCGCGTGCGTAAAGTGACGTAAGTTACCGCTTCCTAAGTAACGGGCAAATGCTGAGATGCAGTGAGCTCGTTTAACGACAAGTCACACCCTAGAACTGAGGCAGGGCAAAAATCGGTAGTGATGAACAATATATGCATGAGTATTATTTATTAACAATAAAGAAAGAATCTACTAAAAGGATTTTGTCATGAACAGTAAATTATTCGCATCAAATGGAATTGAAAATAAGTTAATTATGAAAATATTTATTTGTTAAAGAGGGGGGTAATTCTTTCCCTAGAAGAACAGCTCTATTCCAAAGGCACCGTCACATTATTTTTAAGTGCTACTCAATATAAAGTAAATGAATGTTTAAATTCGTCTAACATATATTTCTTTAAAGTGATTTCAAAAAAGGAACCTTCTTCTTTATATTTTTCTGTGTCTGTATTTCAGTTTTAGTATACATTATTAAGTGAATCAAAGAAACAAAAAAATAATTTCAAATTATAGCCAGCATGATGCCTCACCCTTTTTCCCTATTGCGTCCCCGAAGACGAACAATAAACACATTTATTATTATAGATACCGTACGTATTACAAGCAGATTCTCGATAATCCTTTGAGATATAGAGAGGTAAACGGAATCATAAGTTGAGTAACGAGTTTTCCTCCTCGTAAAAGATCCCTTACCGCAGACCGCATACCCAAGCTATTTCACCGATTATATCCAGTTATGAAAGCTAAAATTTTATGTCACATCCCGAAAAACCATTGTGATGTAACTTAGTTGACATTTTATAGCCTCTACCGTGGTTGTTTTTCGGAATAATAATCGTAATTTACACATCATTAGGACTTCTTCTCGATTAACATTCCCATTCTAAGTAAAAGCAATTCGGAAGCAGTATTTGTGTAAGTGGCAGGCAGGTAGAGCTAGTTCAGTATCTCATGAGCCTTCACATGTTCGAAACATTACGAAAACGTTGACTCGGCTGTTAACCACGCCCTCGCTAAACAATGTTTTTGAGATCTAGAAATGTAGAAATACATAAATAAATTAAGTAAAGCAATGCCAAAGTTCATAAGATTCTAAACTACCCATAATACCTGCATGCAAGTAGCTATAATTTAAAAGTATCGCCTCTAATTCTAATTAATAATTAAAACAAAAGCCAGTAACGATATTAGGAGGTTCAAATTTTCATGAAGTCTAACCCGCGGATAGGTAATTAACCTTGCAACTTCCAGCTTTTCTCCATTAAAAATGTAGACAAGTTAGTCAGATTACTGGATGACGTAATTCATGGCTGACTTGTATTATATCCCCTCAATCTTCTTCTTGGCGCCAACTTTATAACTAAATAAATCCCGACTGACCTTTTTGTTGGTGCAAAGCGAGAAGCTATGAATTAGAAAATCCCGCAACCCGAACGAAACACTCTTAACAGCGAAAAGTTTTCCTCTTTTTCCTTCTATCACAATAATAACACATTTCAACCGAAAAATTGCTTCCAGGTCTATAAGGTTTAAATCCACACTTTCTATTCAGTTTTTACTCACCATTACTTTCATGTTACCTCGTTCTTATTTTTAAAATTCATATACAGCCTTTTTTATTCGTAAATGTCATTAAAAATTTCGCTTTTTCAATGTATTTACGAAATAAAAGAGACAGTCAAATGTGATTAACTTTGTGCACCGAGAGTACCGTACTTTATCAAATACATTATTATTTGATTTTTGAATTAAAATTTTCTGACCATTTCCAGAAAAAGAATTTTAGTTGAAACAGGTACATGGATTCGCTTACACGGAGATAGAAAATCCTAGCGCCGATCCTGTGTAAATGCTGGGTCAGTAATATTCCCTCCCTTCTATTTTTCAAATGCAGCAAACTTCAAAGTCAAATGTTTTCTTTGAAACAAAATCTGATACTGATTTCGTTGCCCTAAAGAGCTTATTATTTGCTCTAATAGATAAGATTGTATAAGTACGTCAATCGACAAAGTATGATTGGGTAACTTGAATATAAGTGAATACCATCCCCGCTAATTAGTGCATTTTCTAACTAAACTCCAACTCAGCGAATAAATTACAATTAGTAGTCGACCGTCGCGTCGCCCGCGACTGAGAGCGAGAGTAAGAGAGTTGTTGGCGGAGGTGGCGAAGGTAACGGCAGTAAATGGAGGTGCACCAACCCAATTCACAAATTGTGCACAGTAACTTGAGTTTTGTATAATTAGGAGAGACTGAAAGGAGTTGTCGTAGCAATTAAGGCTTCGGATAATTAAAATATCCGGATTTGTTATACTTACTGCGGAACTAGCTCTACCATTGTGAATGAATTCGTTAACGACAGATCATGAAACATGGAAGATAGAAACAAGGTTGGTTAATTAAAACGTGGCTGCCAACTTGTAAAATACCGTGAAAGGTCGTTGCCAATTAAGTAGCCGTTTAAAGACACTGCGGAATTAAACAAAACCATGTCGGTCTACAACCACCCAACCCGACTAAGCATTATCATCTACTCTTTAGAACGTTCCTCTTCTTGTATTTTAACATGATACGATATTCAGTTGTTTAGGAAGTGAGTTTTCTTTTATTAATATATAAACTTTTTGCGGTACACTTGTTGCGGAATGCCACCTAATTGCAACAAAACACAAAAATATTGATAAAAAATAGGCAAAGGTAAAGGAGCACGTCTTTAAATTTAAAAAGAAGATTTTCCAAAATTGGATATTCTATCCAATACTTGGCAACTTAAAATAAAGCAAAAGATAATATCAGTAGAAGCCCACATCAGCCATTTCGGTAATACCCCGAGCGCCTTAGCACTTCAGTAATTCTAACCACAGATGTCACAGCGATGTACGTAAGCTACCAATAATCTATTGAATAATTGAGGGAAAAGAATCAACATATGATTTATTTGCACAGGCGGACCTACTGCTCAATTTAATACCAGAATTCCTTGTGTGACTATGCCTGTCAGTTCAATTATAATCAAATTAGTGGCCATTCTCTCAGTTTTCCAATTACAATTCTGCCACTTCGTATAAGCAATAGGAAAACCGATTTAGTAAGTTCAGTGCGCTAGCTCCAAAACCAACAAATAACATTTATAACAGATGCGGAAACCAACTAACTATTTATCAATTACTCTGTATTTTTACTTTATTTTTCGACCTTTAATAAGGTTAAAGGTCACGATCCCTCCAAAGAAAAACAACTTTTTAGAGTTGTTTTTCTGAAAGATACAAAAAATGTCACTAATAGTCCAAAAGTTTTAAATTACTTTCGAAAACCTGTCTCTCTTCGAAAAAAGAAAACTGAAGACACGTTAATTAATCTAAAGTAAATACATTAAACTCCAATAAGTGAACTTTTTCTGAGAGATTTATTCTCGTTAAGTTATGTTTTTAACTCCTCAATGTCGACTACCAAATTTGATGATTGCAAAAGAGAAATAAGGAGCACGATCGTTCGAACTTTTGAAAGAAAACAAATTGTAAAAACACTTTTCTTGTATGTCTCAAGTAAACATAAAACAAAAGGAATTTTGAACTTGAGGTTAAGTTTAATTAGAATTGTCCTCGTTCTTCTTTACATTCTCGGTTTGTGACAGACATTCGCGTTCAAAATAAATTAATTGTTACAAGGGTGAAATAGAAAATTTAAAATCTAAAATAAAAGATAGAAAATACAATACAGCAAAACACTTTAACAAAATACAATTCAGTGACAACACGACTTGACCGCTTCTTTGTCGGACTCACGGTTGCTGTGTCATGATATCTCATTTTTTCCTTGTTAAATGCTGCAAGTTTTCCATCCTCTACTATTGCATCCAATGGCAGTTTATTCACTGTGGGTTTAATACTGCAGAATTTTATCCACCTCAAAACGCTTATGTTTCTGAGAATCATTGCCTACCATTTCAACTTTCTGGTATAGATTAAAAGTTATTAATTGCAAGATGAAGCTATAAAAAATGAATTATCGTCGTTCGGTTGCGGCTTGCGGCACAGTTGTAGCTGTAAATATTGTCGTTTTTTGATGTACGGAGGTGTATACAGTAAGTAAACACATCAAATCCTACGCTTTTATTTGAATTGACAGAAATTTCTTCTGCTGCATGCTTTGCTTGGGTAGTATTCCTTATGTCCGCTATTTCTTTTAGAAGATCAAGAGTTGTGTTCTTGTCGAAATTCGCAAAAACATTTTTCATCGAAACCAAGATGAATG